TTTTATCCAAATTGTTTGTTTTAAAACAAGTATTCCTTAGTTTAGTATCCGCACATTGTTTTTGAGTATACATTTTTTAAAACATATATTGTGGCAGTCATAAGGAGCACACACGATTGACTGTAAACACGTCTTTATTCCACGACTGCCGACAAGTGGATCTATTCTGAACAAGGACAGAATAGTGTCCGCCATAATATTTATTAAAAGAAAAATAAATAAAAGTCCGCGAGAGAGAAGCCCGACCCGAACCTGTTTTACTTCCTTAATCTTGTCGTTTTGGTCCGCAGCAGAAACTGCACGTGTGACCGCAAGTGGAGCTGCTCCGACGCTGCGCCAGAGCTGTCACGCTCAGCGGCTTTGCACGTGTGACCGCTCCACAAAATTTGCTCCGGTGTGAAATATATCGCAACAAAATATTTCGGTGCAGCGTCGGACCAAATGTGTGCCGTGTGAACAGGGCTTTGGAATACATATATATGGAATCTCCATATGACTATGACTGAGTTGTTCGCTAATGAAAGCAGTGCTCTTAAATCTTTTGTGTTGGCATGTTTTTATTGATCATCGATGAATAAGGTCATCAGTAATATCAATAAAATCTCCCCCAAGTATGAATTGTGCCTCTTTATATTTTGCACTTCTACACTAAAAGTGTGGCCCAGTGCACCAGTGGTTACCGCGTCAACCTCACAGTGCAGAGGTACCGGGTTCAATTCCAGCTCTGGCCTCTCTCTACACCACTTCCCGGACATCACCGTCCTGCCTCCCTGGAAATACATCCACCGTGGGTCTCCTTGGAGCTTCCACCTCGATGGCTCCAAAGGCATCACCTCCTTTTGGTCATCCTCCCGCCGGCCAACCAGAAACACTAGCCGGTCCGTGGACCATAGTGTGTTAGCCGGCCTGGCTTGGTCGGCTAATGGTCCTCCCAACAGCGATATTGCCGGTATCAACTTCGTGCTACTCATCATCCGTTCGCTTACTGGGAAGGGTTATCTTATCCAGAATATCCTCAATGACCATATGCTTGATTTCCTTTGTTTGAATGAGACTTGGCAAAGTCCTGGCGACTTTTCCCAGCTCAATGACTCTACTCCGCCGGGATTTGTTTACTTATCCAAACCCCGCGGCTCGGGTCACGGAGGTGGTCTCGCGATATTATACTGCGAGAAGTGGGAAGTCCTTCCAGTCTTTCTCCCTCCATACTCCTCATTTGAATGCCTTGCCTGTCAAATATCCGGACCCACTCCCATGATCATTGCCACAGTCTACCATGCCCTCAAACCTCATCGTGACTTTTTAAATGAATTGTCTGCTATCTTCACCCATCTCTCCTCTCTCTCAACAAATATAATTATACTGGGGAATTTCACCATACACATGGACAATACTGCCCTTCCTCTTACCATGGACTTTGTTTCTTCACTTGACAGTTTTCGTTTCCATCAGTTTGCAGACTTCCCCACACACATTAAAGGTCACACGCTGGATCTAATTTTCTGCTCTGGTCTTACACCCTCCAACTGTACTGCTGATGAACTTCCGATAAGGGACCACTTCCTCATTTTATTTAATCTTACCCTCTGGCTCTCTATCACCAAATCACCTTGTATCATCTCTTACGATAAGATTACAGACATTAACAATGACTCTCTTGCTTCATGCATCGCCGCCCTGACTGCAGACTCAGATTCCTCTCCTGATGGTTTGGTTTCCCGATAAAACTCTGGTCTCACCAACATTCTCAATAAGGCTCGCTCCTGTCAAATCCCTCTCTGTCTTTTTTACTTCATTCATCTGACACCTGCAACGCTCCGCTCCTATTTTTCAGTGAGCAAGTCAATAAAATCCACCAGCACCTGGGCTCCTCTGTACCCCTCCACTCCTCTGACCTCCCCACCCCTTGTCAACCATTATCCTCTTTTAAACTCCCCCATCCCTCACTCATCTCAGACTTCATTGTCAAATCCAAGACTTTTTTCGTCAATTAGACCCCCTCCCCGCAGTACTGTTGAAATCCTGCTTACCCTCGCTGCTTCCCTTCATCTCAGTCATGATTCATTCTCCATTTTCCACTGGAATTGTTCCTGTCCCCTTCAAAACTGCAGCTGTCACCCCAATCCTGAAAAAACCTCACACCGCTGCTATCCTTGTTCACAGTCTAGTCACCTTCCGTATTGATTGTTGCAATTCACTTCTTTTCGGTGCCCATCACAAATTCCTCCATAATTTTCAACTGGTACAGAATTCTTCAGCCCGGATCATCACCCGAACCCCCTCCTTTCATCACATCACACCCATCCTCCAACAGCTCCACTGGCTCTCTGTCAAACTGAGAATCAACTTCAAAATCCTTCTCTATACATTTAAAGGCATCCATCACCTCGCCCCCCCCCCACCTATCTGTCTGATCTTCAAAATTCCGTTCCCTCTCGTTCCCTCTGGTCCTCATCCTCCCTCCACCTCTGTGTACCCTCTGCCCATCTCAGCACGATGGGGTGCAGGGCTTTCTGTTTTGAGTGGTCAATCAGCCTGCTATGCATATTTTTGGAATGTGGGAGGAAACCAGAGTACCCGGAGAAAACCCACGTAGGCCCGGGGAGAACATGCAAACTCCACACAGGAAGTCTGGACCCAGGACCTCTGCACTGTGAGGTGGATTTGCTAACCAGTCAAGCCATCGTGCCACCAGTTTATTTCTTATAATTAAGTTCATCATCTTTTTTTCCTAAATTGAAAACTTTTCTTTTTACATGCATTCTCAATGACCTGTGTCATTCAAGACTTGGTGCTTCCTGGTCACTCTTCTTGATGGACAATATTTATTGTAGAGTGAAGTGAAAAGTGACAAAAATACTTGAATGCGAGATTTGGATCTTCATTTGCCACAAAAAGGACTGTAGGGTGAAAATGAGCACTCATGATCGAACAGAATCGCCATGTCTAATGAATTGATGAAAGGTATAGTGTTGAATTAAATTCAGCTCCATGACAACTGGCTCAAGAAATTGCTTGACAATTGGAATAAACAATTGAAATTCTCAAATTTAAACATGACAGTTCACCATCCTTGATTTAGACCCTTTCAAACTTTGTTAGTTTCGACCACGAGAGAGAACCCACCAGGGCATTAGAATAGTAATTTTAACTACTAGAGAGAACCACAGTTCAGTTAGCCCTTTAAATAATGGTAATTTCATAATTAGACACAAGAGCACGGGTCTCAAACTCGTGATCCGTGGGTCAAATGCAGCCCGCAGAATGTTAGTTTGAGGCCCGCGCCTTGA